ACCTTTATGGCTGTCGACGAGTGCAGAGATGTCTGAGCTGAGTGCTTTCTTTACTCTTTCTCTTCGTACTGCTATTATTGTCTGAGTATATTGCTACTCCCTTAGTAGTTTGCAACCCATCTCTCCCAACTTATTTTCGAAATTAAGTATTGGCATGTGTTTATTTTGACCTTTTTGCCAGCCGTGTTTTCCTCCACGTGTTTGAGAATGCGTGACCATGCGTCTCATTGTTCAGATTTTCGTGAAGTTAGAATTTGTTTTCTTGCTGCTTCGTCGACTGTTTTTTCCTGTCAAATTTTACCCTCGAGCTTAGGGTGGTCCCCTCTGTCCAGGCACGCCATAGAGTAGGGGAGGGGGACAGACCTGACCCTGACTCGGCGCAGTCGAGGGTCAAATTGGCTTGGAGCTCCTGTTTGCCAACGGTGTTACCATCGGGTAGGGACTTCCAACCACCGGTCACTGATTCGTTCAGTGATCCCGGTGCGCCAGGTGGTGTTGTTGGCCGCCTTGACTCTGGAGCTGTAATTTCGATTGTAGGTTCTGGGGCCACAGATTTCTTGTCAGGGTTGTCTGTGGCTACATGGATTAATGACGTGCAGTTCACTAATCCTTGCGTCAATGTTGGGCCTGTCTTCCTGCCCTCACATGTTGATGGTTCTGGTCAGTTCCGGTCCAGTCCAGAGTTCCCTGTTCAGGTGACCCAGGGGGTTTCCCCTAACGGGTTGGGTTTACAAGCCAGGCATCTGGTTTCCAGTCACCTTTTCCCCTGGGCTCTGGGTATGCGGGTGCCTGCAGACATTCATCCCTAGGCCGCACAGGCCAGCCTGTGGGTGGTTCTGGGTACCAACAGTATCCATGCAGTTACGGGCCTATCCCGAACATGTCTGGGTGTCAACATGGTGGGAGTGGTGGTCCATCCCTGTCTTTCAGACAGGATGGCCAGCACCAGACTCAGGCGGGCCATGTTGGCCAGGTCTGGGGGTCACTCCCAGCCTGCGGGGCCATTCCCATTCCCTCAGGGGTTTGGGTTAAACCCTATGGATTTTCCCTTGTGGAATCCCCGGGGGTTGGTCAGTCCTTCTAGGAGACGGTTAAGCAGTTCAAAATCCACCCAACGTTCTGCTACATCGGGGGCCTTGTCGGCCGGTCCTTAGAAGGTTTGCCGGACCTTTAGGACTTCCGCCTTCAATGCAGACCTATTGGTCTCCAAGTCCCAGGGGTCAACGTCGGGTCTTAAACCTAAGCCTACAGCCATGACAGATAGGCGCTCTCTGGAGTTGGCTGCTGCGGTGGCCCCTGATCCTCCTACAGAGACTTCGGTCCCTATCAAGGAGGAGATGGATTTTGAGGCCTCAGGCATAGCAGAGGTAGACGATGTTATTTATCTTTCTCCTGGGTGCACAGATATTGACCCATCCGAGTCGTCTGATGACGGCCCTACCAGTGAGGAGGGCTTCCAGCAGGAAGATGGTCCCGATGCTGCTGAAGCTGAGACTCAACATGCGCTGTCCGGGATGCAGGCCCTCCGGGCCGATGTCTCCAGTATTCTTGGGGCGGAGGTTTGCCCTCCACCTTGGGCTTCGTCGATTCCCGAGTCCACCAGCCTTTTAGATTCTCTGGTGGCCCCTCGGGCATCTGGTCTGTCAGATCAGTCTCTGCTAGAAGGCAGAAATCTGGGAGCATCACTGCTCCTTACTTCTGATAGCCCCTCTGTGGCTGAGGCAACCTTGGTTTCCGGAGCTCTTGTCGTTTCTGGTGGAGGAGCCCTTGGCTCTCCCTACCAGACCGTATCTCCTTCGCCAGCCTCAGTCCAGAATGACACATTCTCGACCTGAGATCCTCCACCTTCATGCGTGAAGGCTATCTCTGGAAGAATCGCCAAGGCCAAGAGAGGTGTCAGACCGCATTCAGGGCTTCCTCTTATGCCGTCTACCAGTCACGTTGGAAGATCTGTGATTGGTGTGTCGGCAGTGAGGTTGATCTGTTCGAAGCCTCTGTGCAGTTGATTGCGGATTTCCTACTCTCTGTGTTTAGGGACCGCAAGCTGGCACCTGGCACTATCGCTGGCTATCGTACAGCTATTGCCAGTGTCCTTGCTTTTTATGGCAGGAAAGAGTTAGGTTCGTCCTCCTCTCTTTCTGGCCTTATCAGAGGCTTTGCTCTGGATAGACCCAGAGTTCGGAAGCTGGCCCCATAGTGGAATCTGGCCTCGGTGCTAGATTCAATGACCAGGGCTCCTTATGAGCCCTTGGAGTCTGCCTTGTTGAAGTATGCAACTTCCAAGGCAGTCTTCCTTTTGGCTCTGGCCTTTAGACGTAGGAGGAGTGAAGTCCATGCCTTGTCGTTGCTCCCTTCTTGTTTACGTTGGTCCACAGGCCACGCTGCCATAACTCTCCTAACTGATCCTTCCTTTTTAGTGAAAAATCAGGTTCTGGGGTTCTCACCCGATCCCATCAGCATCCCGACTTTGACTAGCTCAGAGGAGCGAGATAGGTTGCTTTGTCCTTGTTTGGCTCTTAGGTTTGATCTTGATAAAACCAGGGGTGGGAGGGGGGGGGGGGGGGGGACAGGGCTCTCGAACCTGCCTGTTTTTGCCCATCAAACAGGGACAACGAGATATCTCCTCCCAGTCGGTTTCCAGAATGGGTTTGCCAGGTGATTTAGTATGCTTACGAGCATTCTGATGATCAGACTCGGGCGATAGTGAAAGTGCAGGCTCATGAAGTCAGGGCCCTCGCTGCGTCCTGGGCCCTTGTCAATGGGTCCTCCTTTCAGGAGGTCATGTCTGCAGCATTCTGGCGGGGCAGGGATACCTTCACATATTTTTATCTGCGATCCCTAGCTTTCCACTCAAAAGGCCTGTATTCATTGGGACCTCTGGTGGTGGCACAGTCAGTGGCTGTGCCTCCTCGTTAGCCCCGGGGCATGTCTTTCTGTATGGCGGCACATGGGTACACCTGCTCTTACACGGGAAGGTCCCTTCCTACTCTTTGGCACTCTGCTCTCCCTCTCTACTACTTTGTCTGTGCTGGATGGGCAGCGTGGCTTCTAGTCACCACTACGATAAAACGAATTCGCATACTAAATTTATGGTAATTATTACTGAAATGAAATAATAATAATGATACTACTTACCATAAGTTTAGTATGCAAATACGGTACCAACTTGTCACCCCCTAGCAAATCCAAACTTAACATAATAGAATTGGTATCAATCATGAACTTCAAAGTAGGAAGTGTGGTGAGAGTAGGTGCAAATGGCAGGATTGGGAAAATAGTTGACACTTTTCGCCCCATAGGAACATATTTCATGTTTAAAGTCCAAATGTTTGACACCGGTGATATTATTACGGCTTCAAAACATGAACTTGTATAAGGGATGTCAGACGAGGATATCTCGGAAGAGTTGGCCTTAACAGGTAAAAAGGTCAGTCTATTGTTGAGGATTTGGTGAGGTATGAAAAGTTGGCCTGTAGGGCAGTGGCAATGTTTACACAATGCATCCAGGCATGTAGCAATGCCCTTGGCATTAATCGGCATTAACCTATCAGTAAGTTTTAAGGTCACCTAATGCGATTCCTTTTTGTCCGGCATCATGTCTCATTAACATTTAATATTTTTGACTTCTTCTGGAAAACTCCTGAACCGATTCAATGAAATTTTACAAAAACCTTCCATGGCTTAAGGTGCACCTAAGTTGAAAAATTATATGGTCCCCAACCCCTAAGTGACTGAAGGGCAGGGCCTAAAAGGGTAGAATTGACTGGAAATGTAAAAAAAAACTTATCAAGTCGCAGGTATGGTAGAATCAAGAACTCTTTGTGGATGGAAAGGTCTCCAAATGCTTTGCCAAAATTGTACATTTCATGACCCCAGGGTGTCACATTTCCCCCTGTGGTGGGGGTAAAATTTACTCTAGTTTTATGGGAAAACCACATCTTTTAAGGTTATTTGTGTATCATTTATTGGAATTTGTTCAAACCTGATTATAATTATTAGTTTAAGATGACAGTTTAATAAGATGCACATATTGACCTTGACTGACCACCAGGGGCTGTTGGGTGGTGGGAAAATGGGTCAAATTGACTAAAACAAATCTTCTTTTCAACACCCAGCTAATGTAGAACTAAAAACTCTTCATGGATGGAAGTGTCTAACAGTTCTTTATGAAAATTGAGTAGGAGGTAATATTCAATTTTTAGCATAAATTGTTTGTTTCCTTTCAGAAACAGTTCACACGTGGATAGATTTTTTTATTAGTATAAGCTGAGAGTTTGATGAGGTGCACAAATTGACCTTGACTAACCCCCACAGGGCATGGTCAAAAATGGGTCAAATTGACTGAAATTTCAAATATCTTCTAAAATTACAGATGTTGGATTACTTGAATAGATATGGGGAAAATGGATATTTCAAGAAAACATGATATTAACTGGAAAGTGGCATTAACAGATATGACATTAAGTGGTTTCCACTGTAATTCTGTTTCTTCAGAAGGAAGTTAGATTTTGTCCAATAATGATCTGAAGCATTTTTGAATGAAAGAAAATAAAGTTTGTTCAAATGGTGGGTCTCATCCCTCAGGGGCAGGTTCCAAAAGGGAAAATAGAGCACATTCATAAAGACATTGGTGCAAAAATCAGAACCAATTTCCCTGTAAGACAAATTTCTGATCTAAAATATGATGTGTTATTCTGTGCTAAATGCAGTTGCATTGTTCACATCATAATGAAGGATATCAAGGGGACACAAGTCATTTGTGATAGAAAAATTTAATCAAAATCACAGAAAAAAAGATGTTGCTCATTGACGTATTCTGGAGATTGATTCAATGTTTTGTGAAAATCATTAAAATTGAGACCACAAAGTGATATTTGCTTATTAGTGGATGTTTGTACATAATTCCTAGTGGCATTTTCCACCACACATATCCTAAAATACCTTTTTGTATCGGATGTATTCATATCTTTTTATTGAACAATCTTTATATCTTTAAACAGATGATGCCAAACCTAACAATCTGCCTGAATCATCAGGTAAGCATAGATCAGTTGTTTGGTCTAAAGAACTTGTGAGTTTATGTCATGATGCATCATCCATTATTCTGAAGCATCTTTTCCTCATGGGGAATCAGTTTTTGATAAACAGTAGGTTTTGACATCCTTGGGGGGTTGGGATGAAAAGGGGAAATAGAGAAATGTTTGAAAAATCCTTCTTCTTTTGAAGGAATGCCTAAATGTTTTCGCAATTTAGTCTGATACAAGCTCTGGGTCAATTTGTATTAACAATGGGTCTTGGCCCCATCAGGTGGGAGGGGACCAATAGAGGAAATAGAGAAAATCCTTGAAAATCCATTTCCTGTGTACAAATATCTATATTCTGTCCTGATTGGATGTGAAGCATACTTTGGTAAAGAGAAACCAATTTTGTATAAATGATAGTTCGTTCTTGGCCTTGTGTGGTTCAGCCATATGATGGAAATAGAGAAAATTCTCTCAAATCATTCTCATTGAAAGAAACCTAGGTTTGTATCAACCAGGAGTCTGACATCAGAGATGTGGGGCCCCTTAAGGGAAATGTTAGCTCTTGAAAATAATTCTGTACCAGGATATTGTCAAAGTTTGTTCTGGAGCAATTTGTAGGTCAACTGAGATGAGTATTAGTTATCCTCAGGATGACAATTCTAGTTTAATGAGTTTTGATTATGATTAGGTTGTCATATTGGTATTATCTTGATGTTTTCTGTTATCGGCAAATAGAATCAAGCATAAATCCGATAGGCGATGAGCAATAGTTTCATTTTCCACATTACAGGAAGTACATAATGGTCTTAGATTGTCTCTGGTTGCATAAAAAAGAATGCAAAAGATCAAACTTCTGAAAGCCAAATGAAGACCATGTGATGGCTAGCATCAAGATCTATTGGCAATATTTTGTAATTATTGTTTCTGTAGTAATATAAATCATGTTGTTTTTGCAACCTGTGATTAATAACACATAGTGAATATTTTCTATGGTAGCGTTGCTGTAGTGTCTCAATAATCTAGATTCTATATGCCTTTGGCGGAACACAGATTATAAACTCCCTGTTATGAAAATTTTGAATTTTCTGTATTATTTGCTGGTAAATTTGATTCACTGAAAAATTTTGTTCATAAAATACTTTCAGATGGCCTGAAACCTAATATACTGTATGAATCAGCCGGGGCAAATTATCAACCAGCACCTGGACCATCTTCGGAGTATGCTATTGTATGTAAACCAAACAAAAAGAATGGAGCCCCTGTTGATCCAAATTCTGTCTATGCTGTTGTGGATAAGACAAGTAAAGGCGAGAAGGATTCTAAAAATGATCTATATGCTGAAGTCATGAAACAACCGAAAGGAAAAGGTGGAAAAGGTAATTGAAAGTAATAAAATTTGTTGAGCATTATCATACATGTATCAGCTTTGACTTGCCTTAGGGCCTATTTTTGAAATATCTCACCTTCTGTGTGACTGGTAGAGTCATCATGACCTATTCACATTTTTTTTCTTGTGTCATGCATTGTCCTTTAATTGTTCCTTTAGCACTAAACAATAATTCAAATTTGCTGGGGATGTGAACTCTAAAGGCAAATTTGGGTTTAAAATGCTACCCCTCTTAAAATTACTTGAGTCGATTTCAACAACCAAATTTGATCTGTAACATCATTTAAACTTAGAATGAAATGGTTTCTTAAATTAATGATGTTTCGGGTGTAGTGAAGTTTGAAGGAAGAATTTATGCACTTTATGTGCTGAACAAATCAAACATTAGTGATATAGATACTTAAGTATTTTTGGTATTTTATCCTGAAAAACAAGTTCCAAAATTTTGAAATTTGTTCATAGCTTTGTCATATATGATATATATGACATGAAATAAACAGATAATTTTACAACACTTACCTACAATTGTTAGCGTAGACTTTGCAGTGTACAGATGAAGTTTCAGACCAGAAATGAGCACAAAATCACCACAGCTGAGTGTTCATGCAGTTGAAGATATGAAATCTGTACTACAGTTCACACAAAAGCAATGAACATCATGTGACACTTGACTCATCATCACCTACTTGATGATAACTGATGCACTGTTCTCTATTGATAACCTATACCCTATTCTAAAAACATAGCCAGAGTACCAGACCAATAAAGGTTGTGATTACATCTGTTCAGGTTAGTTCTCTGTGACTACTCATTGTGACCTATATTTCTGTGTCACAATGTCATGGGCTATGAGTGTTCATAAATGACTTTCTGTAAATACTCTTTTAGTGTTAATCAACATTAATGACATCAGTCTTAATATAAACATATCTTTATTGAGACAAGATGAAGGCTGATTTTCTCTTTGCAAACTGAAGTGGTGATCGGATATTGGGATATCAGGTGTTCTATGATAGCGATGTAAATGAGATACCTGGTAAATCAGGCACAATCTCTCATAACACATTGTCAGAAGTTTGATTTACTTTTTCAAAAATCTTTAGCTCACAACGCCCAAAGAGCCAAGTGAGCTTCTGGCAGATCACTGCACCTGTCGTCTCTCTGTCCGTCCATCCACTCATCAACTTTTGCTGCTATTGTCATAAACGACATACAGGATTTTAAAGAAAATTTGGTTCAAAGATTCCTTGAGAGAAAGAAAACAAATTTTGTATAAATGTCCATTTTGGCACCAAGGGGCCAGATGGGTGGGCCAAAAAGGGGAAATCTTAAAACCCAGCTCTTCCTGCAGGAATGATAGGGTTTTGCCCAAATTCGGTCTTAAGCATTCTTAGATAAAGGAAACTCAATTGTTTTATAAATGGTGGGTCATTGCCTCCCTTGGTGGGAGGGGCAGGTCCCAATAAGAACAAGAGCAAATTAAATTTTGTAATGGATGTATACCTCAGAGTAAAACAAATTCCAGTATTAAACTTTTTTGATGGTGGTGATTTCATGGACGGCTTGATTTTAGAAAGAAGATTAAAAGCAAAGTAATATGTTGTCACACTACATTTTCAGGTGCAGGCGTCAGAATGTGTTTAACATCAAATGGTTTGTTTCCATATATCATTCTGATTTTTATTCCTGAATAACAGATATTCTTTCTTTTGCATTGTAGTCTTTCATTACAAAGTAAGGGTATGATACATATTAAGAAAAAAAAATGTGAAAATACTCATTTGACTTATTGAGCTTTAACAACGAAATTATGAAAATATTCCAAAAGGACATAAATCCTTAATTGGACCATCTTCAAATATTTAAACTTTTTAAAGACTTTTGTTTAAGAGTTTTGTTAAATAAATTTTCCAGTTTACTTTTCATGATTGAAAAAGAGGGTATCCCTGTGCTTTGTGGTATTTTTTTGCAATTTTTGCACAAATATGGTTGATTGAATGTTGCCAAAATTTAGTCTTAAGCATTGTTGGGTGAAGGAGAATTAGATTTGTATAACCTCCTGTGGCATGCAATGGGCCCTCTTGGCTGCTTGTTTGATGACTAAAGTTTAGAACTTGAGGTTAAGGGGTACTATAATGACTTTGCTTTTCGAGACCAACTTTTTACTTTTCTTTTCAGCTAACCATCAGCAAAAATCATCCTTCATCCGTCCGTCTGCCCAACAATCTTGGATTTTGACGTTGAAAGTTTGTTATCACTATTTCTTGAGAACTACTAAATAGATCTTTCTCAAACTTCATATGCATTTTCCTTTTTATCCCTCAGGGATCTCAAGTGTATTTCCAAATTTGAGTTTTCTGAGTCTTTATTACTTAAATATAAAGAGAAAATTTTGTTAGAACCAACAAAATTGACTCGGTGTTGGCTTTGGTCACCTTTTCATAGCAAAATATGTTCTAAAGCTATTTATCTGATGGAAACTTTCTACAGCATGCACTGGTGAAATTCAGTTTTGTCCGCGACTGAAGTCTCTTCAGTCAGATGACCCTCAAGGCCAGTTAGCCTCTTGTTTTTGATAGCAGAGATCATAGTTGTATTATTTTAATGTACTGTTATGGTACTTTTCAGAGCAACAGAAACCATTAGACAAAAGGAACCGACCTGACAAGAAACAGGAAAAAGGTATTTAAAATGCTTTTATTCTTTGTAATTATAAATTGGTGATTGTTGATTTCATGTGCATGAGGTACACACAAAGTTTTTTCTTGTGTTGTGCGTTAATTATCACAATTATACTCATAGTATACCTTAAGTATAGACTGATGTATACTTGGAGTACCGGCGCCCAAAAAAGTAAATTTAGCAAGTTCTTCAAAAGCCTCTTTTGTAGAAATGATTTGATTTGGTCCAAATTCAGTGAAGGGGATTGATTCAGTTTTATATCGATGGTAGGTCTCTGCCTCCTTGGGAGGAAAGGGGCAGTAACCAATAGGGAAAATAGAGCAAAATCCTTAAAATCCTTCTGCTCAAGGAATCCTAGTATTCTATGCCATATTTTAGTGTTCAATGAAACATCCTTGGGTGAAGAGGACTCAATTTTGTAGAAAGGGTGGGGCCCAATAAGGGAAACAGAGCAAATGTTCGAAAATGCTTCCTTCATCGGAATGTCAGGATTCTATCAAAATTTGGTCTGGAGCATATAATGTGAAGGTGGAACATTGAACAGTGAATCTCAGACCTCTTTGATTGGTCAGGGGCAGAGCTCTATGGGGAAAATAATTAGTTAATTCTTCAAAAGTTCTTTTTTTGTAGGGATGGCAGAATTCTGTCCCAATTTGATCTGAAGCATTCTTTGGTGTAAAGGAATTTCTATGCTCCCTGAAATTTTTCGCGGAACTTTTGTGTTGGGAGCATAACTTTGCCCAAAATTAAGCATGGATCATGAAACTTAGTGTATACATTGGTCATACAGAGAGGATGTATAGTGTACCAAACCAGGGTCCTCGACCCCTGAATTACAGAGTTACTGCCCTTTGTTTAAATTTCGTGTCTGAAGCATGACTTGTATTTAAACTAGGACAACAAAACTGGCTGTATACATTGATCGCACAAAGATAATGTGCATTGTACCATATTAAGAGCCCTCAACCCCTTAATTACAGAGCTATTGCACTTTGTTTAAATTTCATGTCCATTAACATTCATTTGCAGGGGGAGCATTTATCAATTGCACTGATACTCTTGTTTGTAAATAGTTTAGCTGACCCCCTGGGGTCATAGGGGCTAAGCCCAATTGGTAAATATATATACACCTTAAGAATTCCTATTCTTTTAGTTTGGGTAAAGCAGTCTTACCCATTCAAAGCTAGATAAGTGATACAGTCCCTGTGGGCCTCTTGTATGGTAAATTCAAGGTGCCTGCTCAAGACAGGTAACATGTTGCTTCTGGAAAGACCTATAACATAACTTTTAACTTTGCAACAAATCAAAGATTAAAACAATAAATCTCTATGAGATATGACCGTAGGCATATGACAGAAAGTTATTGTACAATAAATTGATGTTTAAATGATGCATTTTTGCCTTACATTTTAGGAGGTAAAAAAAACAAAAAGAAAGCAACTACTGTCGCTGGTAAGTTTTACAATTTCTTGGTCAGGGATGTTTGTGATTTTGCGGGTTTAATCAAAGGAGGCTGCTGAAATATGGGGTAAATTTTACCCCGATTCTGTACATGTACCAAATTACAGATACCCCAGAGAATCTGGGATAATTAACATATGATAAGGATGATCACTCTTATAATAAAATAAATAATGTTGTTTCATTAGTATTTAAGTGAATGTAAGATTTGAACTGAATGAGTAGAGATTATATAGAAGAATCAAACAACAATTAACTACTCTTTTTTGACAAAAGATTTTACAAATTTGTCTGGAGCATAATAGTTAAAGTCCTATTCCTCCTGTAAGAATTATTGGATTTTATCAAAAATTGGCAAGAAGTTTTTTGAGTGAAGGGGAATCAATTTTGTATGAACAGTGGGTCTCGGCTCTCTGGGATGAGAGGGGCAGGACCTAATGGTAGAAATAGAGTAAATTCTTTAAAACCCTACTTTTGCGATAGGAATGATTTGATTTTGCCTAAAATTAGACTGAAGCATTCATTAGTGGAGGGGATCAGTCTTATATAAACCATGTAGCTTGGACCCTTGGGCAGGAGGAGAGGGGCCTAATAAAAAAACAGTGCAATTTCTGTAAAATTCTACTCCTTCAAGAATGATTGGATTTTGCCCACATTTAGTCTGAAGCATTTATTGATGGAGGGGAATCAATTCTTAGATTTTGTCCCAATTTGGTCTGAAAATGTAGTGGATCATGGCCCCCTGAGGTGGTAGGAGTGGGGCCGAATAAGGAGAAATAGGACAAATGCTGTCCATATTTGGTGCAGGGCATGTTTGGTTTGTGTAAAAATTGCTTCTGACTCTCTTGGGTTTGAAGGATAGAAATAGATATAAATCTTCTAAATGCTTTTTAATTAGTGTAGAAGTGATTTCAGTGATCTGTAAATCAGGTGAGCGATATATACATTATGGTTATTATTATTAGGTTTATCATGTAATACTTACTTATTGCTTATAATATTTACAGAAAATTGCAATCGTAATACAATGTATGAACAAATTTAGAATTAAATATACTGAAGTTGTGTTTGGTGATGTATTTATGAATATAAATCCTACTTACTTGATGTGGTTTTATTGCGAGAAAAAAGAAGATATTATATGTTTATATATTGCAGGCATGGATGACTATGAAAATATAATTCCAAATAATACCAATAGTAAGGATAGCTCTGCAGGTGAAGGAATGTCATCAAGGAAAAAGGTGACTTATTATTGTATATATTTACATGATTAAATTTGTATTCATTTGCATTTTTAGCATGATCTCACCATCAGTAGATGGTGAACAATTTAAATCTCCTTCGTCCATCATCGTGAATCCTGAAACAATTTTTTTATTGCTATTCTTCGAAAATCTCTCCCAAATTTTATTTTAGATCCCCCTGTTTCTCTAGTTGTGAGAATTATTGAACAAAAAAACTGCTGACAAGTGACCATCTTTTATTTCATATAAATTAGAGAAAAAAGAAGAAGGAAAAAGATCCAATTAAAAAAAACAAATGCACATCAAACTATACTGAACAAAATAAGTTAAGGATCATAAACTTGAAACAGTGCAGTTTTACATACAAATAATAATATGATTATATTTTAAATTTTAATGACAGAACATTCATTTTAGTCTTTAATTACACAAAACAAATTCATTTGTGGTAATTGCTACCAAGAGCAGATAACCCTGAGTAACAGCACCCTTGAAATCAAAGTGTAAGAGGAAGTAGAGCAAGTTAATCATGTAGACAAGGAAAACTCATCAAACTGCAATTGGCAGTTTAATAGGCAGTATGACCTCCGTTGACATCAATAACTGCCCTGCAACGTCAGCACATGCTCCTTATTAGTCGTCGGTGGCTGATCTGTGGGATGCGCTGCCATTCTTCTTGCAGAGCAATCATAAGCTGTTGGCGGTTCTGTGGTGGATTAGGTCGAGCTGAAACCCGGCGTTGCAAGGTGTCCCAAGCATGCTCGATAGGGTTCAGATCAGGAGAACGACTTGGCCAGTCCATGCGAACGATTGCTTCACGTTGAAGATAGTCGTTGACCACACGAGCACGGTGAGGACGAGCATTATCATCCATCAGAATAAAATCATGGCCAACAACTCCTGCAATGGGCCTTACTATAGGGTGTAGAATCTCGTCCCTGTATCGAACAGCTGTTAAAGATCCATTGTCTATGATGTAGAGGTCTGTATGGAAGTCAACACTGATCCCTGCCCAAACCATCACTGACCCACCACCAAAGCGATCATGCTGGACAACACAGCAGTCTGCATAGCGCTCTCCTTGGGTTCTCCATACCCTCCTCCTACCGTCATGGAAGTCAACACAAAACCTAGACTCATCTGTGAACATAACATTTCTCCAATGACGTAATTGCCAATTCAAATGATGAGTGGCCCATTGATGTCTGGATTGTCGATGACCTCTGGATAAAATTGGTCGGACTGCTGGTCTTCTAGCTCGTAAATTAGAGGCATGGAGTCTGTTTCTGATTGTCTGGGATGAAATCCTTAGATTTGTAGCACGCTGAAACTGAAGATTCAAGACAGGAGCACTCAAAAACCGCTGACGTCGTGCCGTGATGCAAATGAATCTGTCCTGTCGGGCTGTCGTACAGCGTGGTCGTCCAGATCTGGGGCGTTGACGGACGTTATTTGTCTGTTGATAGCGATTCCATAGCCTACTAATCACGCTCTGAGAAACATGAAGCTGTGCCGCCACATTTCGTGGAGTTTGACCAGCTTGAAGGAGCCCTATAGCTCGCGCGGCTTCCATATCATTTAAATGTCTTCGCATGATTAGTTTTTCAAGTTTTCGTTACAAATTGATTAAATGTTTCCAAATTCAACTTTTTTTAGCTTAGAAGTAACAGAATCAAAACCTGCAAGATTCCTCTGTAGTAATAGACCAGTCAGTTTTTCACACCACCATAGTTAACTAGAGCGGAACGGCATGACCTTCAGATGCACGTGCTTTCACCTTTGACATGACTTTAGGTACATATTGGAGAAACTACGAGTGCAATTACCGGCAATACATGATTTGAATTTTTAAAGATATTATGGTCACAATTATTATCCTTAACTTATTTTGTCCAGTATATATTGGATGCCAACATCCCCCTGGAATTACATTATTGGTGTGGTTTTCACAACCAACGCTTACAACATTTTTGTGGAATTATGTAAAGGACCAGTTTCATGGTACATGTAATTTTGGCGACATCCAAATTCAATCTTCATTGTGTTTTATTTGTACTACCCCAGTAAACTCCTAAGAATTTACGTCTAAAACAAATTCAGACGTCACCTTTACTATGACCTATTTCATGATCCTTGTTGTGAGTGTGAGCCAGATTGCATATCTTACCCCAAAACTTGTTCAAAAACCTATAATAAATCATTAAATTGGTCAAATCCTCTTCATTTAAGTCTGTTTACATGTGATGTGATCCACGTGTTCAGACAGTTTCCAGGTCTTAAACTGAAACTGTTTTTGCTTTTTTTAGAATCCTGATGAACTTTTGTACCTGGATGTTGAATTTAAGGACAATCACACAGATGAGCACAGGGTTGTAGTACATGGAATTGAAAACAGATGTGAATATGCAGATGTTGACTTCTCCCAACAGGCTGATCCTCTAAAAGGTCAGGAGGAAGTCATGAAGAAAACAGGGGAAAACACAAAAGGCAAAGAAACTGTTTAAAGACTTTATTATTATTTCAATATTTAACCAGGACCATGTATTGTTTATTGTACCAAAACATTCAACCAGTACTTTTCAATTAACAAAAAAAATGTAATGTAATGTAATGTCTGGTTACTCATGTAGTTATGTACATTTGTAATGTTTCTGACGATGACATCTTTAGATGCCTTTGCTTCGAACGGATGTCTCATCTACTCAACAGGGGATATAAAGCAGCTCTGATCAACTGTGCAATCGATAGAGTTAGGGAACTAGACAGGGCTAGTACACTTAAATACAAAGTCTGACTAAAACCTTGTGTGGTGACCTTTCACGCCAACTTGCTACCATTGTCATCAATCTTCCAGAAAAAACTTTAGAACATTTTCCCAGAACCACCAATACTAGCAGACCTAAAAACATCAAAGACTTGGTGGTGAGCGTTAAGCTACCAACAACTGTCCACACTCATGCAACTGACTGTTTCAAAACATATGATAGTAAGAGGTGCAAGCTTTTTCTGTATACAGTGCCAGTTCATTCAAATGTGAGGTCAACGGTCGGAAATACCATACCCTCCAGCCGGTGTCCTGCACATCGGCCAATGTAATATACTTGATTACGTGCGCCAATCATCGATGTTCTATCAAACAAAAATCCTGGATCTGTGTGTAGCAAGACATTTCATCATGCCAAGTTATTTGTGGCATGACATACAGGTGGCACCCATTGACCACTACAGGAGTTGAGGTGACCAGCAACACCTCAGTAAGGAGCGATACTGGATCAACCAACTCCAAACCTGCTACCCGCTTGGCATGAAAAAGAGATGATCTTGCTACTACATACAGGTCAGGTCAGACATACCTGGCAGTCAGTATATCTCAAGCTACCAATGAGGCAACTAGTAAAATATAACCCACCTAGCCGACCCTCCCCCATTAACTAATTATTGCACTTTTCATTTAGTTCCTTATCCTGCTTTCTTCCTATCTAAAATTGGCTCTGATTATTAACTTTAGATCAGCAGTAGAAATTCTAATTTTGTGGGACGAGTTATCTGTGGGCAGTTGACCAATCTGGGGCCTATTTGACCATATTCAAAATAATATCTTTATAAACATATTTTGTGATTTTTATCAAATTACTTTTTATTATTCCCTGCTCAACAAAGTTGACAGTTGATATTCTAATGGGTTCCGTCCTTCCATCCTTCTGTCTTCCATCATTCCTTCTGTTCATCCGGATGCCGTTTTCTGCATAGCTTTTGAAGGACTGGTAGGATTCATGTTATCTTAATTCCTTGGCCAATTTTGATTAACAGCAAATTCCACACATATCTAATGAGGCTGCTGAGACCTGATCTGCTGATATTTTTCGTCACTCTAATTGAATGCTTTCTGCACATTATCTTTTGAATGAACAAATAAAGTATGACCATTCTTGCTTGGTAGACTTATTTCCTTCATCCCTTGTTCAAGTTTGATTTTCAGCAATTTTTGTGTATATTTAATGAAGCTGCTGTGACCTGATTGGCTGATGTCTTTTCCAGTTTTCCATGTTGCTCACTTTAAATGTATATATTTTACAAATGAACATGGACATGGGATTTTGATCATTATGTCCTATGTCAATCATCAGATGGTGGGCTATTCAAATCGCCCTACGTTCATGGTCTGTCAGTCCGTCAACAATTTTTGTTATCACCATTTCTTGTAGGTTCTCTTTGGTCCCTAGATAAAAAACAAAACAAAAGGGCCAAAAGGTGGCCATCTTGGATTTTTTTAATGAATTTTGTTATCACTATTTCTTGAGAAGTACTGGATGGATCTTTCGAAATTTCGTATGCAAGTTCCTTTGGTCCCTAGTTGTGCCCATTTGAATTTGGGTCTGATCAGAAAAACAAAATGGATGAAACATGGCCATTTCGGATTTTGACTTTGAAAGTTTGTTATCATAGCCATTTCTTGAGATCTACATCATAGATCTTTCTCTAATTTCACTACCCAGGGGAGAGGGTGACGTTTTCTATAGTTTGTGTATTCTTAATTGGAAATAGCTATTAGTTGAAGATGACAGTTTAATAAGATGCACATATTGACCTCGACTGACCTCCGGGGTTGTTGGGCGGGCCAAAAATGGACAAATTGACTGAAAAAAACTTCTTTTCAACACCCAGATAATGTAGAACTAAAAACTCTTCATGGATGGAAGTGTCTAACAGTGCTTTATGAAAATGTAAGGGGTGGGGGGTTAATATTTACGGTATTTTATGTAGGAAAATTCTATTTTTACCCTAAATTGTTTATTTCCTTACAGAAACAGTTCAAACTTGGATAATTTTTTTTATTAGTAAGAAAAAGATAAGATGCATATTTTGAAGTTGACTAACCCCAAGGGGCAGATGGGTAGGGTCAAAAACGGGTAAAATTCTTTTAATTCAAACTTGGTTAGAAGTCTTAGCATAGGACAGCAATTTCTGTATACACAATTAACATTGGCTTCGTGTGTACAATAAAGTTAAAGTTATATTACTTTTTTAACAATATCAGTTCTGTGACATATTACAAGAAGCATTTTTACTCGGGTGACTGTTAAGGCCCCTTGTGCCTCTTGTTATCCCTTAAGGGTCTTCGACTTCCATCAGCCAATGGGTTTATCATAATATCTAAATTTACACCACCGCTCTCAATTTAGCTTCATTACTTTATTTTTGCTTTATATTCTATGTATGTGATGTAATTTAGGTAATATTTGTATCTTGATAAATGGACAAATTGCCTCGAAAATTTGACATCGCTTGTCCCTGCTGTCGTTATTGATCATATACGTATAGATTTGGAACTAAATATCTAGTTAAGTAACGATGATAGAACAATTGCATATTTAGAGACCGTGGTAAATTAAATATGGCATCAGTAAAAGGTGTGGGAAAAATGAAATACATTATAATTGCCAGGATTGATCTTCCATTATGATCTCTAAAAACATTAATTTTTGAAATGCTATATATTTTTATAACGTTATTAAATACCTATTTTTATAAATATATGTACGGTTTTGAGTAAAATATCTGTGAACATTTCTATTTTCACCTGTGATGTTAAGGTGGACATTTTGAATATCTATATATACCTGTGCTTTCATTCCACATACATTATGTATATATGAATTGTTTTGTATTTACCTTAAATAAACTAGTAACTATTATTTCTTTATTTTTGTTTTGTTTTGTTATTTTATTTCTTCAGAACAGTAAGAATAATCCGAATGGATAAGGTGAACATTTTTACAACTATACTATGGTGTAATTTTGTCGTGTTTAGTGAATGGAACCTTATAATAACACTTAAATAACCACTATATTCAGGCTATTTGGCCAAAAGGCTCTATGATTTAAGGCTGACAAACTTTATAAACAAGGAATTACTTTGTTTTCACTTGATAAGCCCATAATCATGGTTATATATATAGTGTTTTAAAGGTCAAAATTCAGTTTGAAGCTTATCGTTTTTGAAAAATGTAGTAACAAAACTGAAGAAAATGTTTTGAAATATCCAGGTGAGCATCACAAGCTCTATGGGCCATTTGTTTTCCTTGAAATTGTTAGGACGTGCTGAGGAATTATCATATCATACAAAGCTTAAATGCTGATCATACAGATCTTGCCCAGATCGGACAGATAATACAATTCATGTTGAATGGTTGATATATCAGTTCAGAACGTCATTATGACACAATTGATATACCCATGACTTTGCAGACATATGATTTCTCCTGGAAATATCTTTTTACACAAAAACGAATATAATATCAATTTCTTTAAATTCGAAGGTCAGGTTGAGCTACATCCATCATGTTTTGATTGTTGTAGTGCACAATGCATAAATCATCCACTCAAACAACTTAACAATAACCGAGGGACCTATGGTGCTGAATTTTTTGAAAGTCACAGAGAGCAAAGGTGTTACAATCCTTGGATAACTTCTGGATGACGAAAAGGTCATGTGGTATTGATATTGGGCTTAACGCATGCTGTAACAGAGTGCTACCAAGTTTGTGTATGGACCTTGACTCAGTTTCAAAGTCACCAGATCAAATGTTGTAAGGGTAACGATTATGGAACCCCTGAGAATAAAACGTTGTGTCCTTTCTAACATCAAAACTTCTGCTTTTGTAAGACACCATAATTCACAGCCATATAGGGCTGCTGGATAATTTTTTGTTTTAATTATTTTACTTACTGTGATAGTGTTTAATACAAAAGGATGAGTATCTCACTTCATGAGCCTCATCACACCACTCTTTAACCTGTTGCATGCACGTATTGTACGGTCTGTACTGTGAAATTATTGTTTAACATAGCACCAACATGCGTTATATGTTCTACTCCTGGAAGAGGATGCTCATACAGATATAGTTGTACACTTGACCCTTTCTGCTTTGTTCTAGAAAAACACATAATATATTACACTGCAGAAAACACAAAGCGCCACTTTTTACTATAATCTTCATGCACATGTGTTATAGACTTTTAAGTTGTGTACTGACTAGGCAAATATCATCTGCATGTATTGGTATATTAGTTGTTGAATCGGCCGTAATAACACCCATTACACATTTTTCAACACAATCTAGTAAATCATAAATGAAGACGAGATACATTATTGCAGATTATGCGCTCCCCTGTAAGATCCCCCTTTCCATACATTCCCATCTTTATCTTAAACACTGCTTCATATATCTGTATATATTGCTTTCAGAAATATGCCATGACTTAGAAGTTATTCCCAATTGATGTAATTTATAAAGCAGACCGTTATGTCAGACAGTGTTAAAAGCTTTGTTACTGTCTAAAAAGGCTACAAAAACGTTTTCTTTCGTTTCAACATTATAATGCATACATTCCTGCAGGTTAAATGAGACTAACAAACTATAGAGCCCTTTTTGGTAAGCTGATTGTTGCTTATTTGGAAAAGAAACAGGAGAAAGAACTGGTTCCAATCTTTTCGCGAAAATCATTTCGAACACTTTAAAGATAACT